TTACTTGAATTTAACCAAAGACAAATCATCTTATTTGCATGCGTCTAAAATGAAACAGAAGAGAATTGTTAAACTTCAGAAAAACATTTCTTTATCATAAATGATAATAGTTTCTAAAGGGTTAAAGTGGAGATGAGAACAAAGGGGAAATTTTTTAACAGCTTTGTTAGCTATAATTAACATACCAATATAATTCACAATTTTTGGCATATTACATTAATTTAAAAAATTGTGATAGATATATATTTGTAACACAAAATTTTCCATTTTAACCATTTTCAAGTGTACAATTCTGAGGCATTAGTACATTTACTGTGTTGTACAGCTATCACCATTCCCAAAATTTTTTCATCACCAAAATTGAAATTCCATAACTGCTAAACAATGACCTCCCCCAACGATTACCCTGTCTCCCCAGCCCCTGATAACCTCTAATTGACTTTCTGAGAGAAAAGCTTTTCAAACGTTGGCGTTGTTAATTTTTTTCATTAATAAAGTTAATTTTTTTAGGGTAGTTTTAAATTCACAGCAAAATTGAGAGGAAGGTACAGAGACTTTCGATGTTCTCCCTCCACCCCCATACATGCTCAGCCTCCCGTATTATCAACATTCCCCAAGAGAGTGGTACGTTAGTTACAACCAATGACCCTACGTTAACATGTCATTATCACCCAAAGTCCATAGTTTACATTAGGGACACTCTCTGTGTCATACGTGCTTTGAGTTTTGACACAGGTACAATGATATTAATCTACCAGTGTAGTAGCATACAGAATATTTCCACCGCCCTGCAAATTCCTGTGCTCTGACTACTCACCCCTCATTAACTTGTTAACCTACATAATGAATCAACTTCCATAGCATGGAGGAAATTATCCTCCACCTCTGTTCTACCATTCTTAATTTTCATTAGTTGTATTATTTGTGTACATTGTCAAGGTTTTCATATTCTATTTAATAACCGTAATTGCCATAATTTCAAAAGTATTAACTCACTATTCACCAGGATTCCTCCATTGACGAACTTATTTTTATTTATCTTTTGGTTGGATTTTAGCAGCAGGTAATTTTTAAAAAGAACTTACAGATGTCTGAGCCCCTAAATTCATGTTTCAGAATGTCTATTAACTTTTTACTTGAATGGACAGTTTAGCTGGGTACAAAATTCTGGTTCCTAATTCCTTCCTTCCTCTTAGAACTCTGTAGATACTGCTGCACTGTTTTCTGAAATTGTGTTGCTGTGGAGGATTCTGATTCTACTCAACCCATCTCCCTGTGCCCCCTCTTTAAGTGATTCTTTCTTTATCCTTTAGGCTCAATAACTTTTCTAAGGATGTCTTGGTGTTCATAATACTATCAAGTTTGCCTGAACCACAGAATGGCACTTAATCTGCAAAATCAATTCTTTTTTATTTCATGGAATTTTTTCATTGTATATTTGAATACTCCCCACCCTGCCCCATTCTATTATTCTATTTTTGCAGAGACACATACCAATTATATATACATTGGAGTTCCTTTTGCCTCCCATGCCTGTCATTTGGTCATATTAATCTTCTCCATTTAATCTCGTGTGAGTTCCTCAAGCTCACCCACCTATCTCTAGTTGTTTACACTGTGCTTTTCCTTTTTATTCATTGCTTATAGTATGGCTTTTAAAAAAAATCTGTGATGTGTTTATTTTTCTTTCGTGTTTCTCCCCTGAGCTCTGCTAACTCAGCTTTCAGCTTTCACTCTTTTTGTTACCCAATTTCTTTGTAACATTTCTGTGGTTCCTTCCTTCCACTCCTCTGTCCCAACCAGTGTCTAAGAGATTATGTCTGTAATTTCTCTGAGTTGATGGAGAACTGCTTTTCTGAAGTCTTTCTCTAGATGGTTCCTTGTGTGATGCATGTTCTTCATTAGCACCTCCAGCCTTCATGCCTGGGACCCATGTGGGTTCCCTTCTGATTATGGTTCTCTAACTGCCTTCTCAAGAGCAGCATGCAGGAAATACCGGGATTCCAGCTCTCTCAGGCTTTGGGGTTCATGCATTCACTGTGGTTCACAGAGAAGCTCTTTAGGTCTCTGACTCTCTTGTATCAGGACCAACTCCTCCCTGCCTCTCCTCCCTCCCAAGCCCCAGTGCACTCCCTTACTTGGAAAACTAGGTTCTGTTGTAGAAACAGCACATTGGCATGATTTTCCCATTAGCTCTCACTCCTCTTCCATTCCATGATGTACAGTTGCATCTCTGCGTGTGCTCAGTTCTTAGGAATCAGCATCACCCATCCCCGCATCCTGCCCCAGGGCCTGGTGGGCTGGAGGGAGCAAATGAATGGACACTCGGTCTGACTTGTGTGCGGGCGGCTGGTTTAACGTGTAGCCACGAAGACCCCAAAGGGCAGATTGCTTAGACTCCTAGAGTTTCTCGAGACCATTTAGAGATTGCGTCTGACCTCTTCGTTAGCATCTGACCTCTCTGTTATTTGGATGACGACATGGAACTGGCCGGGGGTCACTCTAGGTCATTGCATTTATCCTGCACAGCAGAAGGAGCCCACAAAAGCTTAGGAAACATGGCCCTTATTGAACCTAGGTTTTCCCTTTCCTGTCTCCAATCCTCATTTCCTCCAGCCTCTCCCAAGCATCCAGTTCTCTCTCCTTTGTCTGTGTCAGGAGGGTCCCAAATCCAGTGCCTGTCCTACCCTCTGAGGGTGTCAGTCTGGGTGCCTTGCCACCCCAGCAGAGCCCAGGGTCTTGTTTCACACTCTCTTGTGGAAGGAGGTGGTGCCACGGGGGCTCTGGGCCATCACTCTTCTCTCCTGTGGCCTCAGCCCCCAGCCAGACGTGTGTGTGGGCCTGTGGATCGCAGGGCTGAGTCCGGGCAGCTCACAGCCTCTGCTTTCTCATCCTCCTGGACAGTTGCAGCTCAGGCTTCGAACCCACGTACCCTCTCAGCTGTTGGCTGGACCCACACCTTCAGGAAGGTTAGCGATGATGTTTGCACTCGATCATGGCCTCTGGAGAGCTGAGTCCTCCCTCTGTGGTAAGGTCAGGGGTCCAGGGCTGATCAGGGAAGGGACAGGACCAGAATGGGTAGTAATGACAAGCTTTCCTGGTTGGCCCTGAGTGGAAAAGTTCTTCCCAGCAAGAGGCCTTCCAGATACAGAGATGTGGGACCACTGCCCAGAAAGGGAGGAGGGTGTCAGACAGGGGGCTCCCGTGTCTAGGTGACATCATTCAGATGATGGAGAGCCTCTGGGTTGCAAAACGCCCTCTTCAGGGTCTTGTATGGACCCAGGGTTTGTCTTATCTGTGGCTAGCAGATGTTGGGTGCAGTTTCTGGGGTATGTAAAGTAGATGAATTCTAATTGGCTAAAAAGATGTTTATCTGGACTGTATTTAAAGCGATTGGATATGTGAGAAGTTGAGTGTGGTGCTGAGAGCTTTGAGGGGCTAATCGTCCTGCCTGCTATAAAGAAGTAAACAACCAGGGGTCACTTTAGGCTAATAATTCAGGGGCTGCCTCTGTCCCATTTATATACACCCTGGCCCTCTGTCTTTTTCCTTAGGTGGTTTATTAAAGAATATCGTTCAGCCTTATGTACTGATTGTCATAAGAGTCCTGGTATATGTGCTTTCCCCAGTCTTGTTAGTTATCAAGTAATGTGTTAGTGCCTGGGTGATGCTCAGGCCTCGTACACGCGGTGTCCGGGGCCAGCTGCCTGCCTGGTCAGACCCTTATTCTTATCACTTAGCCAGCATCCTGCCTCCAGTCACCGTGAATTCTCACTGGCTGCTGTCCCCGGCATGGTCCTTCTAAATACTATCCTGATTCTGCCATTGCCTATTTTGGAAACCATCACTCAGCTTCCATTTAACAGCATCGAATCTCTCTGGGGGGAACCAGATATATTCACAGCAAAGCCCCCACCATCCGGGGACAGATTATGATAGGTATGATATGAAATCATTTTGCAGATCACCGAGAGTATGCCTCCTTCTAGCATTTTTTGTTTGTTTTAAATATGATTGCGTTAGGTCCAAGTCTTCATCAAATGTATTGTCATCTTAAAGACAAGCTACTATGAATACATTGCTTGCTTGTATTTTTAAATAACTTTACTGAGCTACAACTCACATGCTCAGGAATCTACCCATGTATCTTATTTTCCTCTTCTCCCTCCAAGACTTAGCCCAATGTCAGCAATAGAGTAGTTACCAATAAGCAGTTAGCAGAGGGGAGGGCATAGCTCAGTGGTAGAGCGTGTGCCTAGCATGCACGAGGTCCTGGGTTCGATCTCCAGCACCTCCATTAAGAAATAAATAAATAAATGAAACCTAATTACCCCCAACCCCCAAAAAGACCAAAAAAAAAAAAAAAGAAGAAGCAGTTGGTGTTGGGTTGAAAGGAAATCACACTTAAGATCACCTCTTTTGGATAATTCGAGATCTCCTGCCAGGAAGCAGTGTTGCCATCTGCGCTCAGTGACAGGAGCAGAACCGATTGCCCCGACGCCGGCAAGTCCCAGACTGCTGATTTTTAAATTTCTCACGTCTGTTTTTCCTAGTTTTGTTTGTCCTGCCTTCTTGCCAGCCATTGTCATTTGCTGCCATCACTGTGCCTGCCTCCAGCTACTCCAGAACATGGAGGAGCTGAAGCCACAGCCTGTTAGAGCTGCATGTGAAACAAGAGCGCATCCTCTGTGCTCTTATGGGAGGCGGTGCCCTGCCCTCGCCTGGCCCACGCTACCAGGATGACAATCTTTTATTTCCCCCGTGGCTGATCAGAGTTTATACACATCCTCTCCACAGTTGCTGAGCAAACAGGGAAAGTGGAGGCTGGGGAGGTGAGAGAACTTGCTCAAGGTCACACGGTGGGCTTAAGGTCATACAGTGGGCTCATGGCTGAATTGAAACCAGAACTCTAGCCTAGGGTCTGGACTAGGCCCTTCCTGCGCTATTGTACCCACCAGCCTTTGCAGAAAGTGACTCTCCTGTCTCTCTTTCTCTCTCAGGGGTCCTTGGTGAATTTTGTCATGGTTATTTAAGGAATCTCGCCTAGAAGTCCCAACACGCAGTTCCCCATCGACGGGAAGGCTTGGACTCCAAGATGATTATAAAGGAATATCGGATTCCTCTGCCGATGACCGTGGAGGAGTACCGCATTGCCCAGCTGTACATGATACAGGTGGGTGGTGGGGCGGGGAGGGCCCCGCCATGCACACAGGGGCTGTCAACACCTGCCTGTGGGGCCGGTGGCTCTGTAGCCTTCACAGCAGTACCCGCCCAGCAGGCCCCTGGCAAATATCTGAATTGCTCTGGAGCTCTGGGTTCCAAGCACGATGCCAGGCACATGCAACACGCCGTGGAGGTTTGTGGCACTGGGTTGTCTCGCCAACACTGTATTCACGGCCCTGACAAGTCTAACACTCTTTGTGCTTAACACCCATCCTCTGACTGGTCCAGGTATTGTTCTGGTGTTTGGTCAGCTTGGACTGTGTAACACATGCTACCGACAGGGCAGCTTAAACCACAGACATTTATTTCTCATGGTTCTAGAAGCTGGGAAGTCCAAGGTCAAGGTGCTGACAGATTTGGTGTCTGGTGAGGGTCCTTTGCCTAGCTTACAGATGGCCACCTTCCCACTGTGTCTTCCCGCAAGGTGAAGCCTCCACCTTCATGATCTAATCACCCCGCAAAGGCCTGACCTCCTAGCACTAGCACATTGGAGGTTGGGGCTTCAACATATGAATTCGGGGGGTGGGGGCGAGGGATGCAAACATTCAGTCCATAGCAATTCATGTGACAGACAGGAAGGTGCAAGGCCCAGAAAAGTTAGACGCCTTACCCAGAAGCACACAGCCTGCCTCCCAGCTCTAGGCGCACACTCTCCTCACTACCCTAGGCTACTTGCGAGACCGATGTCAGCTGTGTGGCTGATTTAGAATTACAAATGACTATGAGGATGACAGGTCTCTGTGACAAACCAGAGATGACCACCCCACCCCAGATGTTGCTGGCCTCCCCACTCAGTGCCTGACTAACCTGGAGCCCAGGATAGGGAGCCCCAGGATCGAGGTGCCCGTAGCTCCCACTTGCTGGGGTCCTGCTCCATGGGGGTCCCCATCCCAGCTTCTCTGCCAGCTTCCTGCTCATCCTCAGTGCCCCAGCTCTTTGCCTGGCCTGGCAGCTTTCCTCTCAGTGGGAGGAGTGACTAAGAACCTACTCCCAGCCTGGCTCTGGCTCTTCTGGGTACACAGGTGCCTCGAGGCAGCCCCTGATGGTGGGGCCATCAGGGCAGGGAGAGCCCCTCCCGTCAGGGTCTCCACCTCCATCCCTAGTAGAGTCTGACCAGGTTCTCAGTGTCGGAAGCTTGACTGGGACGAGAACAGAAGGCGAACTCAGCCTCTTTGGTGGGGGCTGTTGGCTGCATGCTGCTTCAGAAGCGCCACTCAATTCCCTCTTGAACCACTCACCCCGTCATTATTCCTGGAGAGTGGGGAGAGGAGAGATGTTCTTTAGCCCCCCAGCTCTGAGCACTCTGGAAATCACTCAGGCTGTTCAAGGACCAGGCTGATCTGCCAAAGGCGCTGTTTGTTCTATGGCTTCTTAATTCCCTCCCCAACCCCTCACCAAGCCGGGGAAGCCCTGGACCACAGCAGGCAGCCCTCAGCTCTGCCTGGAGGTCCAAGGGCATCAAAATCCCAGGGGACTGACTTGCAGCTTCCAGGATACCCCTAAGCTTTTTTGAATGTGTAATCACCTCTGGCTCAGGGCTCCTCAAAACACCTGCCACCTTCGCCCCCTGTTTTAAGGCTTTTTTTCCTAAACGTCTATCCTTATGGCTCCAATTAATGTGAAACATCACACAGCTTCCTATGTGGTGCCTCCTGCAGGCCCGGGGCTGCCTTCATGTGCTCTTCCAAGCCCACCTGCCTCTGGTCCTGGTGTTCTTAGGGCTCCATCCACTGTGGGGGTGACGAGCAAGCCCAGCATCTCCACCGTGTGATGGTTTCACAGGTATGAACATATGTCACAAGCTCACCAGCTGTACCTTTAGAGATATATAGTTGATTGTATGTCAGTCATACATAAAGCTGTTAAAGAACTAAGTTAAATTCACCAGACTTTCCTGTGGCCAGCCTGGGCCAAGGACTGGGCTACAGAGATGAATGAAAAGCACTTTCTACACTCCGGGATTGCCTGCGGGGAGATGGGTGCATATGCAGCCCCCTGAGTACAGGCCAGAGCAGCTGGGCGGGAGACAGGGAGCCCAGGGCTCGCATGGGCTTGGGGCCGGTGCTCCAGGAGGGTGTCCGTTCTGAGCAGGGCCTTTTGAGATGGATGGTCCATAAAGGATGGGGCAGTTTCATTTTTGTGGAAGAAAGAGCAAGACCTTAGTTCATTGCCCACTGATCCCACTTACCAGCTGGGGTGGCAGCTAGGAAGGGGCCTGCCGTCTGAGTGAGCCACCTGCCCCCTGAGGTTGTGAACAAGATGGGCTCACATGTCAAACTGCCTCATACCTGCTCGACCTGCATTCAATGTACATGTTGTTCAAGGTTAAAAAAATTAAAAAGAAAAAGGAAAGAAAGAAAAGAAAAGAAAAACTTCTCTGGCTAGGAGAGCGCATTCCATCCCAGGAGGTGCCCAGCTAACAGGGCGTGATCAGAAGTGGCTCGGCCAGGACCCTGGACAGCTCTGTGAGCTGCAGGTTTGGTGAGGGATTCCTGATCTTTGAATCCGTTACTCACCGCGCCCCGTCATGTGCTTTTTCTGCACCGGATCCCTGGTGGCTCAGGCTCCTCCCTTGCATCCCCCAGGCCTCAGGGATGGGGGAGAAGAGGGAAGAGGAAGCGAGGGTTCCCCACCCAGCCTGTATGGGCAGGGTCAGCAGGGGCCAGGGTCAGGCCTTGCCCTGGGCGTGCATGCCCCAGGGAGCTGAGCCTGTCTCTCCTGCCCATCCATCTGTAGTCTCCAAGGGAGGCACCATAGCACGGCTTATGGGAACGGTTGTCAGGGATGGGCAGTGGTTTCCAGTGTAGGCTGAGAAGGTCAGCGTGATTCGAGAAGAGCCAAGTGGAGTGACAAAGCCTCGTCTGTGCCAGGGGAGGCCCGCCCGCCGCCCCTTGGATGCCATTGCCAGAAGGGAACCAGGAGTCAGCTCCCGGGATGCCAGCGCCGAAGCTGAGGGAGGTGCCCAGGCTTAGAGGGAACTGATGACAGTTGGGACCAGAATTCACTTGTTCATTCAACCAATCTTTACCAGCATCTACTATGCAGAGGCACCAGTGTGCTGTGCAGGCAGTACAGGCTGGGGCCAGTCTGGGTGCCAGTGGCTCTGATGCTCTAACTGTGGTCCTCCTGCTCCTGAGCGGCCCACCGTACCCATCTCCTGTGAGTGACCACAGCCATTGCCACCACAAATGATGATGGTAGCCTGGTTGCTGAGAGCCTGACACACGTCACCTGCTTTAATTCTCACTGGACCCGTAGAGGTGGTGGTATTCATCCACAACTTACAGATGAGAGCTTGAGGTTCAGAGATGTTAAGGAAGTTGCCCAAGGATGCACAGCTGGCCCAATGCAGCCAGGCTTTGTCTGCAGGCGTAGCTGGCTGTTTCTTCCACTGGACTTGGAGATCTTCTAGTTCACACAGCTCTTACCTTCTCTGGAGTCACAGCTGTTGAGGGTTGAAGCAGAGATGTCCTGCCCCCATCTGCTTCCAAAGCCTGTTCCCTCCGCCTCCACAGCCCTCCTCCCCGTCCTTCACACACACACACACATACACGTCTGCACCTTACGGCGGCCAGGCCAGGTTAGCCTGGGGAGTCAGCCACATGCTGGGGAACATGGTGGTCCCAGAAGGCTCATGTGGCCAAGGGCTTGGCTTTGAGAGCTGGGGGGTTGGGCAGGAGGTGGCAGGGGGTTCACCTCTCAGGCAGGTGTGGGAGCCTCAGGGTACTGTTCTTTTTCCCACAGGCAGGCTGAAGCTCACTCACAGGGGCTGCTGGTTGACTAGTGTCCCCCCCAAAATTCACATCCACCCAGCACCTCAGACTGTGAACTTATTTGAAAATGGAGTCTTTGCAGATGTAAATCATTAAGGATCTCAAGATCATCCTGGATTTAGGGCAGGTCCTAAAGCATTGAGGTGCTCCATGCTTTGAGTGGGCAGGCCCTAGAATCCAACAGGCCTGAGTTCAAGTCCTGGCCCTGCCACTGTGTAACCGTGTAACCTTGGGTAGTTCACTCCACCTCTCTGAGCCCTCCACCTTTCCATCTGTACATCGAAGGCATCTTTCTCAAGGTGTTGTTGCAGTAACTAGAGGAGAAAGAACACGCCAAGCATTTAGCATAGCCACTAATAAACAAAGCTACTGTAAGAGGCTGGAGCTTGGAACGCGTCCAGGAAATGGTTGCTGTTTTCATTATGGAACCTGGGCCATATTCCAGGAGCTCCTTTATGGAGCGAGGAATGGCACATCCCTGTTCTGACCCCATCTGTGACCTCAACCAGGGTCTATTTTTTTTTTCCTGAAGGGTACTTAATTGCTCTGGCCACGGAGAAATAGCACATCTGTGTGCCCAAGGGTGAGGTGGTGCTGCTAGGAATTCCCGTGTGTGTGCACATGTGTGCGTGTGTGTGTGTGCATGCACTCAGGGGTGTGTGCTTGTGTGAGCGTGCGCACACCTGCTGTTCAGGAAGCTGACCGAAGATGGCCTTGGCAATGCCGTCATGTCACCATGGAAACGAATGTTGAGCTTAAAGTCACCAGCACCTTGACCACGAGGTTCTGTGCAGAAGCAGAAACCTGAGCTTTTGGGCACTAGAAAGGATATTTGTGACAGAGAGACACTTAGAGGTGACCCAAGCATCGTTTCTCTTGGGTGGTGCCTCTGAGGCCCCTGCTCGCCTTCTGTGTTTGATCTGTCTGAAATCTTAGTACTGGAGGCAGGACTGGTTCTGGTTGGTTTGTTTGTTTTGTTTTATACCAGATTTATTGAGATGTGAGTCCCACACCACACCTTTCACACATTTAAAGTGCACAGTGTAGGGGCTTTTAGCATCTTCAGAGTTGTGAAACCATCACAATTTTAGAGCATTTTTATCACCCAAAAAGAAGTCTCTCTCTACTTTCCCCCAGCCCCTAGGCGTGGGCCAATAATTACTTTCTGACTCTATGGATTTGACTATTCTGGGCACTTCATGTCAATGGAATCACACACTATGTGGCCTTTTGCGTCTGGCTTCTTTCACTCAGCGTGTTTTCAAGGTTCATCTCTGTAGTAGCATGTGTCAGAACTTCATTCTTTTTTATGGCCAAATCGTATTTCATTGCATAGATATAATTTGTTTATCCATTTGTCAGTTTGTGGACAGTTGAGTTGCTTCCACCTTTTGGCTATTGTGAATAATGCTGCTCTGAACATTGATGTACAAGTTTCTGTGTTGACATATGTTTTCATTTTCTTGGATGTGAATCTAGGAGTGGAATCGCTGGGTCATATAGTAACACAATGTTCAACTTTTTGAAGAACCGCCCAGCTGTTTTCCACAGCGGCTGCACTATTTTGTCCACCAGTAAAGTATGAGCATTCCAATTTCTCCATAGCCTCACCAACACTTGTTACTGTCTGTCTTCTTAGCCAACCCGGGGGGGTACGAAGTGCTATCTCATTGTAGTTTTAATTCGCATTTCCCTAATGACCAGTGATGCTGAGCATCTTTCACGTGGGTATTGGCTCTGTATATGTCTTCTCTGCAGGAATGTCTATTCAAGTCCTCTGCCCATTTCTGAACTGGGTTATTTGTTTCTTTGTCATCGAGTTGTTAAGAGTTATTTATGTATTCTGGATACAAGTCCTTTCTCAGGTATATTATTTACAAAAATTTTCTCCTATTCTGTCAGTTGTCCTTTCATTCTCTTGATAGTGTCCCCTAATGCACAAAAATTTGTTTTTTTTTTAACTTTGATGAAGTCCAATTTAGCTGTTTTTTCTTTGGTTGCTTGTGCTTTTAGTATCGTGTTTGAGAAACTGTTATCAAACCCAAGTTCATGAAGCTTGGCCGCTAGGTTTTCTTCTAAGAGTTCTGTACCTTTAGTTCTTACAAGGGGGTCTTTGATCCATGTAGTTAATCTTTGTATATGGTATGAGGTAGTAGGTCCAACTTCATTTTTTTGTACATGATATCCAATTGTCCCAGAAGTGTTTGTTGAAAAAACTGTCCCTTCCCCCCACTCAATGGTTTTGGCACCCTTATTAGAAACCAATATATATAGCGTATAGATCTGTGGGTTTGTTTCTAGACTCTAATCTCCAGTCCATAGATCTGTCTTACGCCAGTACTACACTGTCTTTTTTTAAAAAAAGAAATTTGCAAGGGGTAGGTAATTAGGTTTATTTATTTGTTTAAGTTTGGAGGAGGTATGGGGGATTGAACCCAGGACCTTGCACATGCTAAGCATGCTCTCTACCACTTGGGCTTTACCCTCCCCCCTAGGACTACACTGTCTTGATTATTATAGTTTTGTGGTAAGTTTTGATATAGGAAAATGTGAGTCTTCATTCCAACTTTGTTTTGTTTTGTTTTCCAGATTGTTTTGGCTATGTGAGATCCCTCAAAATTCCGTGTGAATTTTAGGATCAGTTTTTCCCTTTCTACCAAAAATGCTGTTGGATTTTGACAGGGATTGCATGGGATCTGTAGAGTGCTTTGGGGACTACTGACATCTTCACACTATTAAATCTTCTAATGCATGAGTGTAGATGTCTTTCCATTTATTTATGTCTTCTTTAGTTTCTTTCAGCAATGTTTTACAGTTTTCTCTATACAAGTCTTGCACCTCCTTGGTTAAATTTATTCCTAGGTATTTTATTCTTTTGGATCCTATGGTGAAGGGAAATGATTTCTTTATTTCATTTCTGCATTATTTGTTTCTGTGTATTGATTTTGCATCCTGCAACTGTGTTGAATTTATATACTAGGCCTAACAGTTTTTTTGGGGGGGTGTGATCCTCTAGGCTTTTCTATGTATAAGAGTGTGTCATCAGCAAATTGAGATGGTTTTATTTCTTCCTTTCAATTTGGATGCCTTTTATTATTTCTTTTCCTTGCCTCATTTTTCTGTCTAGAACCTCCAGCACAATGTTGACTAGAAGTGAGAAAGCAGGCTTCCTTGTCTTGTTCCTGACCTTGGGAACACTTTCAGTCCTGGGACATACAGAGTCAGAATGGACGAATTTGTACATGCAGTACTGGGCTGGGAGAGGAACCGTGGTCCGTTCAGTCTCCTGCACGAGTGCTGGGGCACATGGAACCAGGGTTTTTCTTTGTAAGGGTGGTCCTGAAGTGACATGGGAGCAGCCAGCCTGGTTGGCCAAAGCCCCTCCTCCCATTCACCCGGTCTCCCGAGCCCCTCCCTTCTGCAGAGCGCTCTGGACCCACCCGCCCCGCCGCGTTTGTCCCCACAGAAGAAGAGCCGTAACGAGACGTACGGCGAAGGCAGCGGCGTGGAGATCCTGGAGAACCGGCCATACACGGACGGCCCCGGCGGCTCCGGGCAGTACACGCACAAGGTGTACCATGTGGGCATGCACATCCCCAGCTGGTTCCGCTCCATCCTGCCCAAGGCGGCCCTGCGCGTGGTGGAGGAGTCCTGGAATGCCTACCCCTACACCCGAACCAGGTGAGCCTGCCCTCACCCCCGTGGCACAGATCCTGAGGGCTAGTCTTCCAGACAGGTTTGATCCCCACACCCCAAGGGGCCCAGGCTCCCAGGGAGCTGAGCCTCCCTTCTCAGTGATCCCCTGAAGGCCCCCCTTACCCCCTTCAGAGAACGGGCAGGAGAGGGAAGGGAGTACCCCTAGATGCCCCCCAGCCTGCCACGGGGGGCAGACCAGGAAGGAATTGAGTCCAGCAAGGGCCATCTGAAACCCCTTTGCCATCTGGCAAACTCGAGGAATACAGACTTACTTTAATGTTCACCTGGGAACGCAGGACAGTCCATCAGCTGGGAAGAAACACGAACTGAGGGTAGACCAGATGGTCCAGAGATTCCCTGAACCCTGAGACTCAGTGACTAGGATGATGTTTTGTAACAAATCATGTTGAGCAGGGCTTTCTTTGGCTCCCCGTGGTAGGGGGCTCTTCACTCTGTGCCCCCTCTGTGCTCAGTATAGCTGAGCACTGCTTAGTTAGAACAGATAGGGGGCTGCTCCCAGCTGGCCACCCACTTGCTGAGCAGGTGGAGTCCCCAGGAATCACCCACGTTGGTGACGGCCTGGAACTTGCCAGAGTATCCATTCAGGTTATTCCTCTTCCCAGCAGCAGTTTCCTCCTCTGAGCTCATCTCCAGCCAAGAGAGGGGCCTTTTCCCTGTTGTCAGACCTGGTTCCTTGGGGGACGGGATGGGGTGGCATGTGACATGGAGGGCTGGTCCAGATTCAGCCGGCTCGGCAGTATGCCGCACACATGTGGACCCAGGGCTGCCGGCAGCTTCCTGCAATGACTTCCTCTTTCCCCACCCATCCCTGACTGCAACCTGGACTGAGCTCTCCTTAGGACGAGGTGAAGGTCCAGGAGGTGGATGGGACAGATGTGTCTGGACCACGGCTCCAGCCCCCACCTCCGCCCGCCACCCACGCCCACCTCGCTAGCTTGGGTCCTGATGGACACTCGCCTTCCCCCACAGGTTCACTTGCCCTTTTGTGGAGAAATTCTCCATTGACATCGAAACCTTTTATAAAACTGATGCTGGAGAAAACCCCAACGTGTTCAGCCTGTCTCCTGTGGAAAAGAACCAGCTGACAATCGGTAACCGTCCACCCTGACGCTCCCACCCTGGGTGGGGCAGGAGCCCTGCAGGGCCAGCTTCCTGGTCTCCCTGCCCATGGGCCCCTTGATTCTGCTTGGCAGGTTCCAGACTGGCTCCTGGGTGGGGAGGTCGGAGTCCAGGCAAGCGTGGTAGGGGGCACCGTGTGGGGGAGCAGGACGGGCCTCCTTGGCCCCATTTTCCTGATGTGCACCCTGAGGCTGAGTGCCTTTCCCGCCTCAGCCCATCCCCTCCATCCAGGCCTCTCCCTTCGCTTCTGGTGGCTCCTGGCAGTCCTTGGTGTACCTTGGCTTATAGAGGCATCACCCCAATCTCTGCCTTCATCCTCGCATGATGCTCTCCCTGCGTGCATGTCTGCATCCTTCTTAAATCACACTAGTCGTGTTGAATTAGCTATATCCTAATGACCTCATTTTAATTTGACTATTTCTTTAAAGACCCTGTCTCCAAATAAGGTCACATTCTGAGGTCCTAGAGGCCAGAACGCCAATGTATGCATTTGGGGCAGGGACACACTCTACCCATAGCAGGAAGGAAGGGCCCAGCATGACTCAGGCCCTCGTGCAGCTCTTGTCCGGCCAGCGGCGGGCTCCCTCCAGCGGCCTCCTACCATGGTCCCTGAGTCCCAGCCTTCCCCTTGGTGGCCCTTGCCTCTCTGGGCGGGCTGGGCGTGTGGTCTGCTTCAGGAAGGATGTCCATCCCACCCCACACACCGATGCCCTCGGGCTGCCCCTGATCCCTCGCTGGTTTCGGTGGAGCCAATATCCGCATCTGTAAACCACAGCCCAGGCTCAGTGCCAGCAAGCCAAGGAGATGAGACAGCCAGGGCCTTGTGGGGGCAGAGCCCCAGGTGCCATTGTCCTCACACGTCTGAAAGAAGGGCTCTCTGAGCCACAAACCCTGTCCTGAGTTCCTCCTCGCCAGGCGTCTGCGCAGCCCTGCCTGACACACATGTACCTCCGGAGCCAGACCAACAGCATGGCTTGACTGGGGGGGGAGCATGTGACAAGAGGTGGTCCTTCCCAGAGTCACGGTCACACCCCCTACCCGGGTCCCACCAGGCCCCAGTCCTGTTTCCCTGGGCGCCCAGCCCCATGGCATCCGCTGCCCACTCAGCCTGTCCTGGACCAGCTCAGGCCCCACGCCTCCCACTGGGCCCTTCAGACGTCATTTCTGGCCTCCTCCCTGCTGGTCTGTGTGGGAGGGAGGGGCTTCCCAGCAGGCCAGCCCACCTTAAAACCCGCCTATAGCGCTGCTTCCCGTCAGGGTGCCGTCCAGGCACAAGGGGATGTCAGATGTGTCCAGCCGCATTCCCATCACCACTCCCTGTGCAGACACCCTGGTGGCTCCCCGAGCTCCCCCACCTCCTGGTCACGTGTCACATTCTGGGACACTCTCGGCCCGCACGGTTCTGCAGTAGCTGAAACACCACCTTTTCTGGGAGGCTTTTCCCGGCCGTTTCTACTCGCCCACACCCCACCCCACACCTTGGGTGGAAGTTCATCGCGCCCATGCTTCTCCAGCTCATCACCTTATTTACCTGCTTCGGCAACATGGGGTTTGCTGAAATGATTTGAAAAGGCAACAAGGAGAGATGCAGGCCCTGCGGTCAGGGGGCTTGGGATCAGAGTGGACCAGAGCAGCATCCTCACCCCGACGTCTGGCCCTGTGGCATGCCGAGGATTTGGGGGTAGCAGGGACATGGGGAGGAGACTGGACGGGGACGGGCAGGGTACAGACTGGGGCAGAAGTGGTCACTCACAGGGTCTCCCTGTAGACTTCATCGACATCGTCAAGGACCCCGTGCCCCCCAACGAGTATAAGACGGAAGAGGACCCCAAGCTGTTCCGCTCGACCAAGACGCAGCGGGGGCCCCTGTCCGAGAACTGGATCGAGGAGTACAAGCAGCACGTCTTTCCCATCATGTGCGCCTACAAGCTTTGCAAGGTGGAGTTCCGCTACTGGGGCATGCAGTCCAAGATCGAGAGGTTCATCCACGACACGGGTGAGCGCCGGCCTCCGCGTCTGTGCCCCTGCTGCCCGTCTCCTCCCTCAGCGTCTGCCCGAGAGTCCGTGCTTCCGCCTTACTCTGGGGAGATGACCCCAAAGCCCGTTTGCAGCTTCCCAGCTGGCTTACCTGGACCAAGCACCTGCAGACAGGCAGTGTGCGTCCTGCCCCAGACACTCCGGGCCGGTTGGTATCTGTAGCGCGGAATGCCCACCCCCACGGGGGAGCCACCCCAGGGACAGCCTCCCTGCTGCTCATGGCGCCTCTTGGCACCCAAAGGCCAGACCCCCAGCCCTGCCCCCAGCACTGCCTCTGTGTGGAGCTGGAAGTCCCAGGGGGAGTGTCTTGGACATCCTCGTGTCCTCACACCCATGCCAGCCTGACCTTGAGCAGGTGCCCAAGGAACAGGGGGACCAGCAGATGACCTGGGGTCCTGACACAGCTCGTGCTGGCCGGGCCCCTCCCTCCCCTGGGCTCTCAGCTCCCTCCCTGTCCCCCGGGTCACAGCAGAGGTCAGTGCCCAGGGCCCAGCTCATGATCCAGGAGCAGCCCCCCGGCAGACACCTGTTGACTCCAAGAGCAGGGGTGACTGTGTATGTGAACAGAGCCACACCCCTGATGATGTACTTCACAGGTGTCCTATTGATGGCCTCCCAGGAGGGTGGCCACTGTCACCCCCATTTGCAGAGGAGGAAGCAGACGCCCAGCGCTGGGTCTGAACCCTGATCTCCCATCCCACACACCCTGGTCCTGATGTAACATTCTCACACCAGCAGGTGGAGGGGCGTCTCATCAAATGGTTTGTCCAGCGTGGGTGCTGGCTGACCCCGAGGGTGGCCTTCCTGAGGCCCAGCAGGGGGCACTGGGGGGCACCCTCCCCGGAGCAGGGGTGAGAGGGAGTTTCTCCCACGCGGGCCTTTAGGAATGAAAGGATTTAGAAAGGGCAGCTGGGGATGTGGAGGGGCCTGCGCGGAGCTGAGAGTGGGACAGAAGGCAAGCCCAGAGGAAGGGTCCCCGGAGACCAGCCTGGGAATGGAAGGGACTCGGCCACTGGGGGAGCTGCTCGGCTTTCTCGAGGAAAGCGGAGGAGCCCGCGCCGGACGTTTCGGGTTTGCTCCCCAGAGAAACTCAAATGCACGTTCTGGAATGTTCAGAGCAGCAGGTTTTTAAGAGTAAAATGGACAAACAATGAAAATGAGCCAAAGGCCCATTGGCAGGAAAAGGGATAAATAAAATGTGGTATTTCAAACAAACAAACACCATACAGCAACACACAGGAAACTCACCCAAAAAAGCGAGTGGCAGAAAAATACATGCAGCGCGACCACATACGTGTAAATGCCAACGACACGTAGAAAAACACACCTGTGTGCTGAAGCCAGAGGGAAAAGCAAATGATAAACGCAGAATGCGGAACAGACCCTTCCGGGACGGGAGGAAGGTGCAGCCAGGAGGGCGACCAAGGGCTCCGTGTTACTGGCCACGTCTACTCCCTCCCTGGGTGGTGTGGCGGGGGGTGCTTTATTTCTTCTTAATGTTTTTTAAGCAGCTTATTGAGGACTAATTTTGCACCTGTTGTCAGAGAACAGTTCCGTGAGTTTTAGTCTATTTGCAGAGCAGTGCTCACAGTTTTAGAATGTTCCATCATCCCAGAGTCTGTCCCAGTCACCCCCACTCCCGTCCCCACCCAAGGCACCCTCATCGGCTTCCTGCCGCTGTAGTTCTTCTGTTCTGTTTGATGCCTTCAAAGTATCTTGTTTTCGTTCTTATTTTACATGTATGATATCTTCCTACGTACCTTACTTTTATATCTTATTTTATATGGGTATAGATTGTATTAAAAAGAGAGAGAGAGAGAATGAAAGGGAGTCAGGGGAAGAAAGGACCAACCTGCTGTGAACTTGCACTTGGTTTTCCCATGGGCAATTCAACAAGAAAAGTGTACTAGACACTTGAGAAGTCCTCTTCCAGCTCCCCCATAATTCAGGCCTCTCAACCCCAGTTGTAGAAGCTCTGTGAGGCATCTGTGAGCCAGACCCCTCACTGACATGTGGGGAAACTGAGGCATGGGAGGGGCAGTGATTTGCTCGAGGCCACACGGTGGGTGTGGGTCACAGCCTGACCTGCAGCACGGGACGCCTCCCAGCCTAGGGGGCTCTGGGGGGCTCTAACACGGGCCTCTTTGCCTCCCCCCCCCGGCCCCCCCCAGGCCTCCGGAAGGTGATGGTGAGAGCCCACCGGCAGGCCTGGTGCTGGCAGGATGAGTGGTACGGGCTGAACATGGACAACATCCGGGAGCTGGAGAAGGAGGCGCAGCTCATGCTGTCCCGCAAGATGGCCCAGTTCAAAGAGGAAGACAAGGAGGCCGTGGAGATGGCCAAGGATGAGGCCGCCCAGGACCAGGCCCCCAGGGAGCCCCCCCAGCCCAGCAGCAGCACTGGGGAGCCCCTGGCGGGCAGGAGCCTGAAGAAGCAGTGGTCCACATCCTCCAAGTCGTCGCGGTCGTCCAAGCGGGGAGGTGAGCGCTCTCTCCACACGTGTCCTGCCCGACTGGTCCACCCCCATGACAGCCCCACCCAAGGCAGCCCGCAGCCCAGCCAGGGAATTCTAACTCTGACGGTGGACTCTGGCTTTTGGACACATGGGCCACACCAGTGAGAGGCTCCTTGTAGCCTCCATGTCAGAGTGAAGTCCAGGGCATCCCCCAACCCTGGCAGGTTCCCCCAGATCCGCCCACACAGCCTGGGTCAGACAGACCGGTGGCCCATGTGGGAGCCCCGCTCCCAGCCTTTCCCGGGACCCAGCACACCCAGGAGGGCCTTCTGCTCCTGAGTGGGGGAGCCAGGCTTCAGATACTCAGAAAGGCCTTTCTCTGGAACTTACATGAAAGTGCCATGGCGACTGGAGAAAATCAGGGTATCCTGTATCAAAAGCCACCAGTCCCCGCTGCAAATCCAGCTTTTCCCACACCAGCCATACTGTCCTGTGCTGAAGGGACCCCGTGCATCGATGCCTTTCATCCCATTTCCAGCCGCTGCCCGGCAGCCAGGTCTGTCGGTCCCGCTGTGGCAGAGTTTAAGGGACTCGCTCCCAGGCAGGCCAGGTCAAGGGCACCGGCGTGGACCAGGCCTGTGTGACTGCACATCCTGGCCTCACCCCTGACACCCTCCCACCTCCCCGTTCTCCCCGGGACAGGACTGCCTTGTGCCGGGTGGGGGCTGGGAGGCACCGTCTTCCACCGAGATGAGCCAGGGCCGCCCCGCCCTCACTTCTCCACTTCATCCCCTTCTGAGCCCTCCCGGCTCTGCTCTGGCTTCATCACACCTGCCTGCCTCTGCTCACTCAGCCCGGTGCAGCTGGCTGGTCGGTCAGCCTGGGGTTTTGCCTTCCAGCCAGTCCTTCCCGCCACAGCATCTCTGAGTGGAGGATGCAGAGCATCGCCCGGGACTCGGACGAGAGCTCGGACGACGAGTTCTTTGACGCCCACGGTAGGCGAGCTCCCTGTGGCGCACTGGGGCCTTCCCAAGAGAGGAAGGGGAGGGGTCTGAAAGAGCTGGGGTGCGGGATGTGGGTCAAGGTGGAAATTGCCTGTGGACGGTTCTGGGTGAACAGCAGGGTGTCAGGGGCGGGGGCAGAGGATGAGATGAAGTCACCAGAGTCTGGGGTCTCAAGCTCACCTCGACCAGCTATCAGGATGTGGACCAAGTCTGGCCGGTGGGGACTGTTCTCTGGAACCCGCCCCCCCCAGATGGATTTACAATCAGCTGGGGACATTTTTCCATATGTGAACGTAACTCCCTAAGAAGCTTAATAAAAGCATAACTTCTAATTTTGTTTTTAGTAATTACCGGCTTTTTCGTGATTAAATTAACACACACCTAAGGTAGACATTTTTAGAAATACAAACAAGCAGAAAATACATGCAGTGCCCATTTCCCCACTACTCCCGAAATAAGTACAGCGAACTTACAGCCTGATGAGTCACTCACCTGTGCTGGGAAGATGCAGGCACCACACATCCTCGCTTTGTACCTTGGTCGTTCCTCTTTAGGAATTAAGAGGGGCAGGCAGGCAGGTGCAGGAAGACGGGTTTGCATTTTGCAATGCAGCATACAGGCTCAGAGAGGGACAGAGACTTGCCCACAGGAACACAGCAGAACAGAGGCAGGTTTGGCCCTGGGGCGGGGATCTGGAACAGGTTCCTGAGCTGGCCTCTGCACCGGGGAACTCCTCAGGGGTAGGGAGGGTGTTTTAGCCATCGCACACTCCTGCCCGCCTCCAGCCAGGCCAAGAGGCTGAGCGCCTCCAGGGTCTGTGTCCCTGATGTGAAAAAAACGCACATCTAACGTGGAAACTTTAGGAAAAGCTGGAAAAAGAAGAGATAGCGGAGCAGGTGATGCCAGCGCAGTGTCCTGGGGAGACTGTCCCAGTGACCGACAGAAGAGGGACCAGCACATGCCAGGGTCCAGGCAGCTGTCTCCAGCCAGCAATCACAGGCGGAAGTTCTCAGAAGAGCAGGAACAAGAGTCCTGGATAGAATTGTTCACAGCAGTGCTTCTCACTAAGCTGTACTTTTGTGGACATTGCAAACAGTGCGGAACATCAGTGGAGAAACAAAATGTGGTCCATCTATACAAGAAAATGTGAGTCAGGCATAAAAAGAAGTGAAGCACTGACACATGGATGAACCTCAAAAACACCAGACACAGAAGACCACACATCACTGGATCCCGTGTATAGGAATGTCCAGAAGAGGCAAAGCCATAGAGACAGAAAGTCGATCAGTGGTGGCCAGGGGCTGGGAGAGGGGACATGGGGAGTGACTGGTAATGGGGACAGGGTTTCCATGTGAAGAGATAGAGATGTTCTGGAACTAGAGCTGATGGTGGCACAGCATTGTGAATGTACTAAATGCTACTTTAAAAATGGTTAAAATGGTGAATTTTATGTTAAGTGAATGTTAACCACAATTTTTTAAAAAACATCAGGCAGAAGCCCCTGGGTGTGTGGCCATGTGCCCGTCCTGGGAAGGAAGGGAGAGAGCAGGACTGAGCAAGGAGGGGTGCCCGGGCCCCTCACAGCGGCCACTCTTAGGCCCCCACCTTTGGAAGCCAGGGCTCCCAGAGCCACCCCCTGCAACGGCCCCTGCCTTTGATCGGGGTACTGAAGTCCCTCTCTCTCCTCTCCAGAGGACCTGTCCGATTCCGAGGAAATGTTCCCTAAAGACATCACCAAGTGGAACTCCAACGACCTCATGGACAAAATTGAAAGCCCTGAGCCAGAGGACACGCAGGGTAAGCGGCTGGGGGCTGCAGGGCCCAGGGATTGTGGCCTTGAGGAGCCAAGCCCCTCTTCCCTGACTCAGCTCCTGGGCAGTGCTGGGCACCCAGGAGGGGTGGAGAACCCTCTGTCCGGTGGGCCTGGGGCTGCCCCTCTGCTCACAGCACCCACCCCTTCTGTGTTGCAGATGGTCTTTACCGTCAGAGCAGGCCCCGAGTTCAGGGTGGCCTCCAGTGTGGAGCAGCTGAACATCATGGAGGTGGGTGCCCGGGTGGCAGGGGGCCGGGCTGCGCGGGGAGGGCTCAGAGAGCAAAGGACCGGTCCCGTGAGGGCTGTGGAGGTAGAACTTGGCACCAGCAGCCTCATGTCCACACTGGCCCAGGCACTGTTGGAGAGAGGCCCTGGGCCCAGCCCCTCTGACATCCCTGAGAACCAGTAGGAACTGCAGACAGCTCCCCCGAGGAAGGCCTGGACCCAGCTCCACCTGTGGAAAGTAAAATGAGACACTTGTAAATTCCAGATCAAAAATAAGATCTTCACCCTGTGGTCAGGCTGTTTGAAGTTCCTGAAGAGAAAAAGATGGAAGGGGAGGAAGCAAAAGCCATCTAGGCAGAAGTGATGTGCCCGCAGTCGCCGCCCCGCAGGGGCCGGGCAGAGCTCTGTGTCCAATAAAGCTGTGTTGGTAGAGCGCCTGTGTCCGCTTTGGGGGTTCTTTGCCTGGAGCTCACGCCCCTTCTCCTCCTCCACCTGTGGGCAGTCAGAGCTGTTTGCACTGGAGGCAGGAGCCAGAGCGGAGCAGGGGGCGCCACACGCTGTGCTCACCACTCTGCTCTGGCCTCTAGCTGCCCAAGGTGGAGACAGCACCTCTGGGAACTCAGGACCCCTGAGGAGTTTGGGCTGGAAAAGGGGAGCATACACACTGCCCTCGTCCTCTTGGGGTTTTCTTTGAGGTCTGAGGTCGATGTGGGCTTTTCTAGAAGGGTAACTGGGACGAGGGAAGTTGATTTCCAATTGTCAATTAATGGTGATAAAGCCAACGGAGCCCCCTCCCCACCTTCTGCACACACAGCTCTGACGGCCCCCCTCCCTGGGAGGGGCAGAAGGGGCCCTGGACTCTGGATCTGCCTCGAGATGAGCATTCGGACCCAGCACCGGTTCTGGGGCACTGCCATCCACAGTCAGATCCTTTTGCTTGCAACAGCCCCCAAACCAGAGCCTCCTCTCCCAGGCTTTCAGAAGGAGCAAGGCTGGCTTTACAGAGTCAATGCTGAGGACCCTCAGGCTCTCCAGAGTGGCTCCCATGCCCCACCATGTTGCCCCGCCTCCTGTGTGTTCTGTTCCCACTGGGGTTCAAGTCTCCGGCAGGGTGTCCCCCTGTGGAAAGCAGTTTGAATTGGAGGAAAACTCCTCTGGGTTCCTGAGCAGTCTCCAGGCTCCAGCGCTCGGTCCCAGCAGACAAGCACAGGCAGATTCTCTCAGCCCCCCGCCGCCCAGCCCTGCCCATCCCAGGTGACTTGGGGCCACGTCTGGGTGACAGGGAGGCTGCCATAGGACATTGCTTCCACGAGCCCCTGGCCTGGCTGTGTTGATCTTTCCTGGGTACCATCTGGTGGTTCCATCCTGGCCTGTGTTCTGGGCAGCCATTGGCCCCACCCTGCCTTGGGGCCTTGAGTTCATTCCTGCCCAGGCCAGCCAGAAGTGGGCAGCCCTCATGTGGAAATGGGAGTCTGCCCCAGGCTTTGCTGGGCGTCTGTCCCTGCCCAGGCTCCGTGGCCCATGACTGGCTGGTGATCAGCCCCCTTTTGTCTTGAAGCAGCCCAGCCTTACCTCCACCTCAGACCCAGTGCCACCCACCAGCCTTCCTCCCACCCAAAGCCGTCTGCTGCTCAGTGGCTCCCAGCCCTGCTCAACCCATTCCTGAAGGCCTCGCCGGCCCCTGGGTTCAGTGCCCGCACTGCCCGCCCTTCTCTTGGGCTCTGCATTGACACCTAGGTCCTGCTATTGCCCCACCTCGTGCCATCCGATGGCCCAGCTCCGGGCCAATGGCCCCCCATGAGCCCTCCAGATGACTTCAGCCCCTTGTTCTGGCTCCCGAGTTCCTCAGGGACATGCCCCTCTCTTCAGCTCCCTTCCCCACCCCCGTGCCCCCGACATACTATGGGCAGAGCTAGTGCACACCAGTGGCTCCTCTTGGGCCCCAGCCTCCCCCAGTCACACACCAGAAGCTGGAGACAGGAGAGGCCCCCGGGGATGGGGCCACAGACTGGGATGGCAGGAGAGCATTGAGCAGGTGACAGGAGCTCTGGGTTCCAGTCCTGCTTGGCACTGACATGCTGTGTGACATTAGACAAGTCCCTTGGCCTCTCTGGGCCACCACCACCTCACCTGTAAATAGAATGGTTCCATCCCCCATGTGGTCTCACTTGGACCTCACAAGCAGGCCTGACCAGCAGGAGGTGGGGTCATTATCCCCCGACAAACGAGGGGGTTCAGATGGATACATCTGCGTTGCCCTCCTTGCTCTAAGATGCTGGGGCTCTGCCACTGCTGGGACATCTCTGCTCTTGTGGATCTTGGTCCAGGGTGTCCAGGAGTGGCAAGGCCCAGGGGCCACGGGCCGGGGGCAGAAGGGGAGGGCCTGTGTAGAGGGAGGGAGAGCTCAGAGCTGCTGGTGGAGTGGCCAGGCTGAGTCCCTGACCCCAGCCCCTCTTAAGTGAGCCTGTGACTCAGGCTGAGACAGACCCACGGAGGGCAGGCAGGCCCCAAAGGCCCGCACGGGGCTGAGCCTCTGCCTCCTCCCCCAGGCCAGAAGCCCTAGAAGCCCCTGCCTGGGTCCCCTGATGGGAAGTGGAGCTTGGGCTTTGGAAAGAATAGAGCCTCCCTGTCCTCTGCCCTGGTCAAGCTGGCAGAGAGGAGGAGGAGGACCAGCTCGGCCTCCCCGGGGAGGGGGTTGAGGTGGCCGACACCAGGCCCCGGTGCTGAGGAAGTGAGATCGGGGCTCTTAGAGGGAGCGGCTGGGAGGCGGCCGATGCCTGGACAAGGAGCTGAGTTCCCTGGGAGTTGACGCCCACCCCCGCCCACGCAGGATGAGGTCAGTCCGCCGCTGGCCGCGCCGCCCTCCAAGATCCACGTGCTGCTGCTGGTGCTGCACGGAGGCACCATCCTGGACACGGGCGCCGGGGACCCCAGCTCCAAGCAGGGCGACGCCAACACCATCGCCACCGTGTTCGACACCGTCATGCGCGTGCACTACCCCAGCGCCCTGGGCCACCTCGCCATCCGCCTGGTGCCCTGCCCGCCCATCTGCGCCGATGCCTTCGCCCTCGTCTCCAAGTGAGTGTGCAGGCCCACCGCCACCTGAGGGTCAGGAGACTCCCCCGGTACTGGGACCAGGGTTCTGACATCCAAACCTGCCCTCTAGCCTGTTCTGCTGGGAGGCAGCAAAACCTGTGCAGATGGCTGAGCTCAGAGTCCAGGAGCGCCCAGGGCCCAAAGCTGAGCCTCAGCTTCTGAGTCTGTGATATGGGGATACTGACCTGCCTCACTCCCCAGCCCTGTTCCCTGCAACTGGCCGAGGAGGGGCCCCATGAGGTTTGCCGAGTCAGGGCTGAGGCTCCCAGGATGTCAGGCAGCTCCTACTCTGATGCTTGGGTCAGGGGAGGAGGGCCCACTGGGCTGAGCTGAGGCTACCTGCTCTCTCCTGACTGGCCCCTCTCCCTCAGCCTCAGCCCCTACAGCCACGACGAAGGCTGTCTGTCCAGCAGCCAGGACCACATCCCCTTGGCTGCCCTGCCCCTGCTGGCAACCTCCTCACCCCAGTACCAGGAGGCAGTTGCCACGGTGATTCAGCGGGCTAACCTCGCCTATGGGGATTTCATCAAGTCCCAGGAGGGCATGACCTTCAATGGGCAGGTGAGTCGTGTGGTGGGGGAAGGGAAGACAGAAACTCTGCAGGGTGAGCTGGCCTGGTCCTCCGGCCTAAGGCAGGGGGTGACAGCTGTCCCAGGCCAGCGCCCCTCGCCCCAGCAAGCGAGGCAGGTGCTCAGGCCCTGGACCTCTCCCTGTCCAGGTCTGCCTGATCGGGGACTGCGTCGGGGGCATCCTGGCATTCGATGCCTTATGCTGCAGCAATCAGCCAGTGTCTGAGAGTCAGAGCAGCAGCCGCCGGGGCAGCGTTGCCAGCGTGCAGGTACCAGCTTCCCTTGGCCCCCAGAGCAGGGGACCTCCAGGATGGGGACCGTGTCACGCTCTGACTCCAAACATCCCTGAGGCCTGCCGTAAAAGGGAAGGGCAGAGGTGGCCGGTGCAGGTGCCCAGAGGCAGGGGGCAGATGCGTGGGACAGGCGAACAGCTGTGGTACAGCTGAGCCTAGGAGCATGTGCGGCTTCAGCAGGTGATAGTGCAGGGTCTGCACCTCGGGGAGCGGAGTCTGGTCCTGGGGGGTGTCGCAGGTGGATCCCCTGAGCTTCCAGGCAGGAGAGAGGACCCACAGCCCCTCTGCTGCAGAGTAGCAAACAGCCTGGCAGGCCTGGCAAGGCAGCAGGATCGGGGGAGGCACCAAGGTCCAGGTGGCCAGCCAGGCCAGGAGGGAGGACTTGGCCAGTGGGCTGGGGGGACTGGGGGGCCACGGAGGGACAGGAGCTTTCCCCTTTCCGGCTTGGGTGAGGAGGCCGGCTGGATAGTGCCAGTGGTC